ATGTTGCAGGTAAAAATAAGCGACTTTGGTCTATCAAGGCTTGGTGTTCAGTATAGGCTGAAAGCAGCTATGAAACTACCCATAAAATGGCTTGCACCGGAGACTATAACTACCTTCACATTTTCGTTGAAGACGGACGTCTTCAGTTACGGCGTTATGGTTTACGAGATATTCTCAGATGGGGCTGAACCATGGGATGGTCATACAAATGCCGAAGTAAAAAAAGCGGTTAGTATGCTGCCGGCGGTGTATGTTACATAGCGGTCGAGTCTGTCATGGTGCCATTTCAGGTTATCGAAGGAAAATGTCTTACCTTTCCAAAGTGTACGCCAGAAAAAGTAAAAAAGTTCTTCATTCAGCATGTTCTTGTCAAAAATCCGGGATCAAGAGCAACAATGACAGAGGTTAAAATTGGGCCAGCTCCCAACCCACTTTGCGCCACATACGCCACATACTACCATTTTGCAGGTAGTAAAACTTTTGCAATCTTGCGGTGCTACAAGTGGACCGAAGTCACAGATGTCTGAAGTACGCTCAAATTGAACAAAGAAAACAACGTCTATCAATAGTCTTCACCTTCAAAGCCTTTTCCGCAATTCTAACGTAATTGCGGAAAGAAAAATATCTGCAAAGTACATTGGTGTCTGATTTTATTGCCATGGGTTATTATCTTAAATTGTCTATCCTGCTCATCACGCTCCATAACCAGCTATTTAAAATAGCCTGTTATCGTCAAGAATTCTCCCTAAATAAACAATTAAAATGGACGTATTTACACAATAGAAGAAGGCAAGCTTATAAATCTCACAAATATCCTTGCTGGCGGACTGAGGGAGGGGACGCCTTCGCCTTCGTTTTCGGAGGCGTGGCTGACACCACTCCCCTTTCCCCAATAGTTGGGGTCATGATCCCGCAAAAAGTTTGGGTAGCATCCCAAAAAAAAATTTGGAGCGTGTAGCTAACGCCACGCACCCTTTTGAAAAAATTTTTGCCCCCCCCCCGGACGGAAATCCTGGGACAGCCACTGCCTTGCACTCTTAAAATCACGCGTAGGCTGCATCGTTTCATGTATGAATTGTCGTTCTAATTCGGTTCTATTAGCTGCAGGACGCATGACGCGCAAGGATCACAACGGTGTAAATACAGGCGGCGCATAGCGTTCGCTCCCGTTCAATAAATATTTTGCCAAGCATTTCAAATTTTGCGCCCTCTTGTCATGCGCACAGGTGCTGTCGCTAACGGAGCACTATAAGAGTTGTCACATCTAATAATAAGAAGTTTTGAAGCTCTAATGAGCCCTCAGTAAAGCTCGGTCAGATCAGATGATCTGAAAATGCGTGCCTCAGACAAGGCTCGTAAGATGAACTGACGAGCGGCCACTCCCACAGGTTATGAAAATGCGATCTGACCTGACAGGTGAGCGTCAGAACACGTGCCGCGATGATCTCACCTGAATTCCGTAAGAATAGCGTCGATTCGAGATGATTGTACGGAATTAGTGTGCAAAGCACGACGTATCCCGT